TGCTTAGCACAATGTGTAGCACATAGTAGAGACTAAAAAAAAAAAGCTTAATTAATTACCCTTTAATTGATTAAATGATGATCCATTACATAAACAGAAGTTTGAATGGATGGATAAATGGATGGTTGAGCAGATAGATTGGTGGATGAATTTGCATTATAAGTACTCAAGAGCAAGATGCACCTTGATGTAAGACAAGAGAGTCTCCATTGTCCATAAAGCTGTCTCCTCATTATTTTACTCTGGCCTGTTGCCACGTGTTTATTGAAACATCAGAGACCAGTTTTTAACTCAAAACACTCTAACACACAACTTCCCTGTCAGTCACACCCACAGCTGAGGTTTATCACTACCATGTGACTCAATACCCATTAGTATCACTGCTGTATAGTGAGCAAGGGAGATGTTTTTCAGAGAACTTCCAGAAAGCCACAGTCCATGTCCTGGGAACCAGATGATCTCTAAAATCTGACCTCTGTCATTTCCACAGCTACCCAAGACCTAGCTGGAGGTCTAAAATGCCCTTTGGGAGGAGTCAGGGACTCCTGGGCTTGCTCACAAGCCCTGAAGGGACCCAGGCGCTCATCCCTACAGAGACAAGGACACTGGGAAGATGAGTCTCCTTCTCCTTCTAAGCCCCTATGAGATGTATGTAGCTCAGGACTCTATAGGAGAAGTTGCAAGGATAATGCGATAAAGGGAGAATGCTGGGAGAGGAGGGAGGACAAAGGGGGCATCCAACAATCTTGTAAGGATATTTAATAATGCTCCCTAGGGACAGGGAAGAAGAAACACGGGGGGAAAGCTATAAGTCACCATGGGGCTTACATGATGAGGCTTTGCTTCATGGGAGGTGAGGAGAGGCAGCAAGAAAGCCTGCCCAGCATCTCCTCTGGGGTGTCCAGCAGATATCTCAAATTGAACACAAGAAAGCCTGCCCAGCATCTCCTCTGGGGTGTCCAACAGATATCTCAAATTGAACAAAACTGAACTCTTGATCTTTTCCATAAGCCTGCCCCTCCCACGATGTTCCCATTTTGGTAAATGGCAAATCCATCCATTCAATTGTATAGACCAAAAACCCTGGAGCTGTTCTCAGCTGCTCTCTTTTTCTGACACCCTGCACCCGATTAGCAACTCCACTGGCTTTACCTTCACATTGTGTGGAGAATCACTTTTGCACCATCTTCACTGTTACTACTGTGGTTCTGCCCTGGCCTTTCCCTACAATCTGTTCTCCACCCACCAGCCCTCCAGAAAGGTCAGGGCACATCGCTTCTCTACTCAGAATCCTCCAGTGGCTCCCATCCTCCTCAGAGTAAAAACCAGAGTCTAGAGTCGCCCACGAGGCTCAACCCAAACTGCCGTCAGCACTTCTCTGGCTCCATTGCCTACTACTTCCTCACCTTCTGTTCCTTCCTCCAGCAAGAAAAGCTCACCCCTCTTGAGGTCTTTACCCTTATGATCCCCTCTGCTGGCTTGCTCTTCCCCCAAGATATCAGCCTGGCTCCCATGCTCACTTCCTTCATGTCTGTCTTCAAATGCCCCCTTCTTAGTAGGACAGACCTGCTCCTGGACCCAAAATTCCCCATCCTCCCGCTCTTCTCTTTTCCATGGCACTTACCAGCCAACCAGCTACATATTCTACTTATGTATTTGGAACACACGTACCAAGACAGCAAGGGCTTCCAGTATTTTGGTACGGGATTCCTAGTACCCAGAAGTGCACCCCAGCATCTAGTGGGTGCTGAACCAGTACTCGCTGAATGAATGGATGAATTAATGAATGAGCAGAATATTTTGCTTTTGTTTCTTCACAGTCCTGTAACAAGTTGATTTTCTTATTTATGCTCTTAGTGTCGCCTCACTGTCTTGGTGTGCCTCGTACCCCACACAGTGCCTTAATGACAGCATGGCTGCCTCTGTGCCCTGCTCTCAAGGCTGACACACCCAAACTCAGATTCGAATTAGCTCCCTTGTTCCTGAGCTGACTGCTAGGGAAAGCTGGCTGCACCTGGCTCATATGGGGAGGGCAGGCTATGGTGTCACCTTGGGCCACTTCCTCCTTTGTGACCCTACCTTGTCCCTGCCTCTCTCTGCCTCAGCATGCAGTAGGTACACCAGCTACAATAAGCTGTGGTTTCATCATTTCTCAGGATCTCCCTCTCTGGACTGGGAACTCCCTAAGAACAGGGTCTGTAGCTTTTTTGAGTCTTAGGATCTCAAAAGTGACATTTGAATTGGGCCTTGAAGGATGAACGTGAACTTGCTGGGCACTTAGCGGAAATGGCAATAACTAGGTCTAGGTCTGATCCTGAGGACCAGGAAGAAATGGAGATAGTTGGTGCAGACCACTCTTTCTAGGATTTTGTCTGTGAAAAGGAAGAGAGAGAAACACGGTAGCTGGAAGGTAAAGGTTTAGTTTTTAAATCTAGACCCTTTTTAACCCAGGGCCCTCCGTCCCTGTCTCCCAGTCCCTCCTTCTGCACACTCTGTTTCCATCTTGTTCCCTCTTCTCCAGCCAGTTACATGCAGAACACATGCCTCTGGGCCTTTTTTATTCCTTGGAATGTCCTCATCATCATCATCATCATCACCATCACCATCGTGAGCTATTATAGTGAGCTATTTACTGAGGTATTTATATGGCCAAGATTCACATGTGTTTACTTATTTGATCACCCAGTGGCCCTATGAGGATTGCACTATGACCATGCCTGTGTTATTCACAAGGAAACTGAGGTACAGGGAGGCTTGGGTGACATTGCTGTAAAGTGGCAGAGTTTCAGTTCAACCTAAGTATTCATTTGGGCTCCAGATTCCACAGTCTCACTCCACAGCTATAGGGTGTCTGCTTCCCCAAGTCCCAGCCCCCATGTTAAGCTACCCTGGGAAACTTCCCTGAAACTCCTGGTCCAATGTGTGCTCACCTCACTGTGCTCCCTAGTGAGACCTCAAACACGCCTCTGCCCTAATCCATCCCTCATAGTGTTTCCGTGGGTGCTGGGTCTGTCTCTCCTGCCAACCAGGAGCCTTTGAGGGCAGAAATGTGTCCTGTTGTCCTTGTGGGGCTCAATGTTTGTGGTTTATCCCTAAGTATCTTCATGTTCTTTCAAGGTCAGCATGTTTATTCCATTTAAGTACTTCAGGCTCCATTTATGGGCATGTTATTGAACCCGTTTCTGAAAATTCTCCATCTTTGTGTTTTCTACCTCGTATTTCTTTTGATGGTTTGACTTCAGAAGTCCTAAGAATTTTCCCTTTGAATGTAATTCATTATGAAGGAAAAATGAACCATGGTCTGGGTTTATTCTAATTGGAGTATGGCATGCCTGTCACACATGAATGGGTTCGCCAAGCCAGCCCTGAATTTGTTTCCCACTGCCAAGTATCTTAAAGGAAAAAGGGGTTTTCAAGCCAGTTGTGCAAATATTTTAAAAAATCTGATAACTTCCTATCTTGCTCCTTAATAAGTTTAACGGTAAAAGAAAGCCTTCTGGCATCATGTTATTGAATTCCTAAATCTTTAGCTTCGAAGAACTTCACTTGGATTATTAGCAAACATTCATCGACCCCCTTTTCTGTGCCAGGTTGTCCATATATATTATCCCATTATGGCCTCCCAGCCATGCTAGGCAGTAGATAGCATCAGACTGCTTACAGAGGAAGAAACAGAAGCTCAGAAGAGCCAAGTCGCAAGCCCTGTGCCACACAGCTGGGGTTGGGCACCACAGAAATCTGAACCTGGCCAGGTCTCGCTGGTACCCGTTCAAGGGTTGGTCTGCTGAACGCCAGCTGCTTCCTTCCTGTTTCTTAAAGCTGGTCCTGGTGCCAGGACCCTCCACTTTAAATTCTGGGTATAACTGAGCAGCAAACAAGGTCTAGCTTGGCAGGCGAGGCTTGGAGAGTTTGTTCTCTCCTCTTGCAGCCAGACAGACAAAGCAGAACCCAAGCCTGTGTACTGAGTGCCAAGACGTGCATAATCTCCTTGAACTCCTCCATCACTGTCGTCACCATCATCATTGAGGGGAGAATGGCTGAGGGCTGGTGGCTGTCTTATTTGGTTTTCTCTTGGTGGGTAAATGGCATCCAGATCCAATAATAGAATGGAACTTGGAGAAAAGCTGAGAGGAGAGAAGGGATGGGGGGAGGGGACTTTATATTTGCTGAGGGGCTTTCCTATGCATGTAGGAAGGTAGGCACATAGGGAGGCAGAAATGCAGCCCTGATTGTCCCCATCGGAGACAGAATGCCCATGTGGTTGGCCCAGAGGAGGAGTTCTCATATTTTATGTTCTAAGCAACCTAACCAAAAGGTTGTCTGTCTCCAGTCCCACAAGATTTTGGAAAGATGATCCTCAAGACTGTTTGAATCCAGACATTAAATAAACAAAACTGCACATTTGTGGGAACAGGGTATTTAGCAGGAGCTTACTATAGGCCAGAGGCTTTAAGGATACGTATTATCTTGTGTAATCACTGCAATAAACCAATGAAGGAGATATTTTAACCCCTCTTTGCAGACATGGAATCTGGGGACCTGGGAAGTTCTTTGTCCAGGTTGCACAGAGGCTGCTGTGGGATTGGAGCTCATGGTTGTGCCAGACCACGGCACCCCACCTACAGCCAGTCCCAAAGCAGAGAGACCTGGTTGTAGCTGGGAGGATGGACATTCAAAGGCCATCATCTTTTAGGACCCACAGACCCCTTTGAGAAAGTGAACGAACTTCTCCTTTTAGACAAATGTACAACCCACCCCAAGGTAAGAGAATTTCAGGGAGACCATAACCCCTTCACACTCATTGTTGACCATAGCTGATGATCACCTGCTCCCCAAGGAGGTTATTCCCTCCAGATCCAGAGAAGTCATGTTTGAATGTTGGTTCCCCTGTCTTTGAACTTGAGTCTCAAGCACCAGGCTGTGGCTATCCTTGGCTCCAGTAATGGAAATTGATGAGTAGTCCAAAGCTCTGGCCTGTACTAACTAAAATAACACTAAAATAACATGCTAGGACCTTCCTATTGACCCAGTTCATTTTTATACAAAAAACAGATAATTCCAGTTTATGTATATCTCCCATACAGAGTCCTCCGAAAGAAAGAAAACCCTGGTGTATGATCTTTGCATAATAGATCATTATAGATTTATTAAATCTTAGTAATCTAGGTTTCAAAGCTTCTTTGAATAATTCTATTTTCACATGTAAATTTGATAACCCTCTAAAAAAAAAGGAGGAAAACTTCCAAGGGAAATTATTTATTCTTATTATAAAGCCTAAAGTAGTCCAAAGCTGGGTTTATACACATTAACTGTGATTTTCATCATAGTTAACATATGTTGACCCCCTATTATTTGCTCAGCACATGCAAAATGCTTTAATACACATTATCCCATTTCATTGCTTGCCCACAGCAGCCCCTTGAGGGAGACAAGGCCATCATTATGACCTCTACGTCACAGAAGAGGAAACTGAGGTCCAGAGAGGCTCTGTGACCTGGCCAAAGTTAAACACCGATAGGTAGTGGCAGAGCCAGGACTGAAGCTCTCTGGGTTCCAGACCACCCCAATTGCTTATACCTCAAGCAGTGTGTGAAGCAATGTTTCACATGGATGTTTGAAATGAGAACTTGCTGCCTATAAAGCAGATTCCAAGAAAGCAATCCTCTGAGTGCATGTAAGTGTCACTTGTACTAGAAATTAGAAAACTTTTGTCCTCCCCGACATTCAGGGCTCACTTGTGGAGACGGGTCACCTTTGTTGTGAAGCCCTCTGACCACCACCTCATCCCCTGGAACCTTGAGCTACTTACCACACTAGGTCATGATCATCTGCAGTGAGCTCTCCACAGGTAGTAGTGTTCTGAATAAGAGTCAGGGACACTGGGGACATCCGATGAGGGATTGGACCAACATTCATTGCCATGGCAACGGCTACTCAGCTTGGCCTCTGACCAAATGTCTCGGCAGGTGAGCAAGCAGGAAGAAGCAAGGATGCCTCAGGGCATCCCAGCCTGGGGTGAACAGGAAGATGACTCATCTATTGAGGGAAGGGAGACAGGCAGGAGGCCCGCCTTGGATGTTGGGCATCTCCGTGAAGATCTTATCTTCCCTGCAAGGCTGAGAGTTTCTGAACTGCAGGGATCAGCTCTCCATCACGTCTCCATCCCACATGGAGCTCCACACAGGACTAAAGAGTGCCCAGTGAATCTGTATTGTCCACTTAATGCCGAGTTGTGTCCTACGACAGTCCACGGTGTTTTCCAAACTGCTCATCATGGCCCATTAGCGGGTCATGAGATCATTTTGGGGGCTGCAGACCAGCATTTTTATTAATAAGATAGAAGAGAAGTGAAAAGGGAAAAAATGACAGTGCGTCCTACGTAGTAAGGATCATGAGGTTTTTTTTTTTCATGGAAAACATGCAAAGTATGTATGGGGTGTGCACGCGCGTGTGTGTGTGTGTATACACAGGGCTGTGATGTAAAAGGTTTTTTTTATCCTGAGTCACAATCAAATGTCTGAAAAATATCAGAGAAAAATTTTAGAAAGACACTTATTTGATCAGTTTCCTGATTGTAAGAATATTACCAGTGACCGTTTATTTTCATTGTTCATCTACTTCTTCGGGATTCATCCAAAAATCACCTACTGGCATGGCCTTCTCCGCTGTGTCATCCTGTTAGGTGTGAATGGGAAACGCCCAGGAACAAGTGACTGGCTCAGTGTGTCTAGAGTCACTAGTTGGGCAACAGGGGTCAGAACTGGTGTGTGACTGGTACCACCTCACACCTGCCCATCTGCAAAGCAGGAGTCTTTTGTTTGCTGAGCCTTTGTAGTTCAAGCAGGGTGAGCAGTGGCCTTGAACTGCTGACCTCTGCATTCTGTCTGTCTCCACTCCCCCTACCAGTTGGCTTAAGTCCCTCAGCACCTGTATATTATCACTTGTATCGTTCCCATGTTATTTTCCCATTGGCAGTCTTGTCTCCTTGGTTAGTTTATGCACTATTCGAATATGTCTTCTGCTGCTTTTGTAGCTCCAAAATGCAACCCTCTAACGGGGTTGGGAGTAGAGTAGGCACTCAATAAATGCTTCCTATTTATTGACAACTACTCATTGTTCAGATCCCTGCTAAGACACCCCTTCATTCCTCCTATTCTCCTACAGTAGAGCATGTACTATACGGCTTCATGGTTATGTGTGTTAACGGTCTTCTCCTTCACTTAGACTATGAGCCCACCGAGAACAGAGAGTGTGTGTATTCTATCCATCACCGAATCCTCAATCCCTAGCACAGCACAATACCTGCCTGCGTTGCCCATTGTGTCGTCAATGATCTGCACTTGGTAGTTGTATCTGTTAGTTATCACCAAAACAATGCTGAGTAAAAAAAACCCACACTACCTCAAAGGCATACCAAATACATGTTTGTTTTTGTGGAGGAGCTCGAAGCTACAGGGAGGTACTAGATCTGTTCCATGTGTCTTCTCACCACCCTTCGATTAGCAGACTAGCAAGGGAATGTTCCACTCACAATGATGGCAGAGGTACAAGAGAGCAAGTTTGGCCATACAAGCACTTTCAGGCCTTCGGTTCCATCATGTCCCTTCATATACTTTCTGCCAAAGTAAGTCAGTTCGTCAAGCCCAAAGTCAAGGAGCAAGAAAGCATGCTTTGCATAGGAACTTTTGGGTGGTGAAGGGAGAAGTGAATATTTCTAAATAAGAAACCGAATTAAGTTCTCAAGCTCTTGCTAAATGCTCATGGAATGGAAAAGAAGGGAAGAAATTATTCGATTCCAGGGATTTCCTATAGGTTTTCACCATAAAGTTATAAATGTCCATGGGGACTCTCCTACCTCCTGACATGTAACTCCACAGAGAAAGCCAGAGTTTTGTCTAGCAAATAACAGCCCAACCACCCAGAGTTAAGTTTTCTGGGCAAATAGCGACTGCCAGCAGGCTGCTCAGGGACGTTCAGGGATGGCAGCCACCTCTGGGAGGGAGAATGAGACAGTGACTGCTGCCTTCTCAAAAGGCATCTCTGAGTGGATAGAAGCCAGGCTGGAGGGGGAAAGAGTGTTCTGTTTTGTGTCCCCTAGCAATGTGTGCACGCAGATGAATACCCACACGTTTGTTAAAATCAGCAGGTCAGGATTCTCAGAAAATCTTTTAAAATAACTAGTCATCACTTCTAAAAGGAGTTCAGAGCCCTGGTCCCCGTGTTGGCTTTGCAGTACCAACTCTGGTGTGGTTTGAGCTTGTGCAAGGCTTTCACACCCCTCCTCTGCTTAACTGAAAAATAACGGCCTGTTTTCTTTCGTTCTCTCTCCCCACCCACTGCAGGGGTGCTGTGCCTGCCAGACAGCCTGAACCTTCACAGAGACCCTCAGCGGACGAACAAGCCGGGGGAAATGCCCATGTTCAGCCAGTCGGAGTTGAGGACCATCGAGCAGTCCTTGCTGGCCACCCGTGTGGGCAGCATCGCAGAGCTGAGTAAGTGGATGCCGTTCTCTGGCTCTCTCCGTGCCCAAGGTGCCACTGCCCTCAGGACAGTGCTTTGTAACCAACCAGGTGACACCTTTTATTGAGCACATGCTGTGTGCACAAAACGGTGCCATGATAGCCATGGGGAAGGCAAGGGCTCGAGTCAGACAGGCCTGGTAAATTTCCTGGCTTTGTCACTGTCGTAAGTTTTCTGAGCCTCAGTTTCCTTTTCTATAAAATAAAGAAAATAGGGGTGCCTGGGTGTCTCAGTCGGTTAAGTGTCTGACTCTTGATTTCAGCTCAGGTTGTGATCTCAGTTTGTGAGTTTGAGCCCCACATCAGGTTCTGCACTG